AATGTGTGTAAAATAACACTGTTTGAGTTAGGAAAATACTATTTGTCAAATATAGATACCGTTCATAAAAGATTCCGCTATTTTGCACTCGAAAGATAACACACATTATAGGGGTTGACAAATGTTAATCTTCTACTTTGATTAGATGTTCACTTGGAACAGTTAAGCAAGTCCCAGCTGTACTCACCTAGTTGTACTCGACTAGTTGTACTTGCGGGGGTTGAGCTTTGGCTCTTTGGTCCAGCCTCCGCGCGTGCGTGTGCGTGTGTGTGTGTGTGTGTGTGTGTGTGTGTGTGTGTGTGTGTGTGTGTGTGTGTGTGTGTGTGTGTGTGTGTGTGTGTGTGTGTGTGTGTGTGTGTGTGTGTGTATGCATGCGTGTATGCGCGTGTGTGTGTGTGGCCTGGCTCACGCCAGGTAACCTGTGATCAGTAGGGGCGTCTGGTAGGCCTGGGCGGCCTCTGGGTAAGCTCCATTAGCCACGCCGCGTTATACCTCAAGACATGTCAGGACGGCGCTAATAGTGTGCGGGGAAGGTGCCTGATTTTCATCAATCTTCTTAGCCGACACTAAAGGGAAGGCGGAGCCGCTGCGGCCGCTCTAACTACCGCTCTTCCTCCTTTCCGACACCCTGCTCTTCATTTCCCCCCCCCCCCTCCTCATCCTTCTCACCTTGTCATTATTTTTCTCTTTCATCCCTCTTCCTTTTTACCATTATTGTCACAATATGTATAATCACAACAATTGGAATTAATATAACATCATAACCGCATCTATAACCGCCACTATTACTACCACCACTACACCATAAGCAGCAACAACAATGTAATGTTAGAATAAAATGTAACTAGAGATTGCAGTCTAATGAAACTGACAGTTAATGTAATCAGACTAGAGTCATATATTGTCCCAAATATACGTTACTGTTCCATCAAGAAACTTGGCCGATTGCCGGATCTTCCAACTGGGCTGTATATCTCAAAAGGGAGTAGATGAGAAGTGCATCTCGTCAATATCTACCACCGGTACATGATTATATCAAGAGCAACGCCGAGCAATTGATCAGGAACATGTTATATAGTTACGTCCGTCTCGCCAATCCTTAAGTAGTTCACTGGAAATTTGCTCGCATTCGAGCATCAATATAGCAAGTTTAGCTATTATAAAAGGAGAAATCTAATAGCTTCAAATAATGTGAAATTTCTAATTCTGAGGGAGAGGGACCTTCACAAAGTACACAGTTAACTATGCAACTCCAAGGAAAGACTATTGAGGTGGGCAGAAACTGCAGCAATATACCCTCAGAGCCACTTGCGTGACCCAGGAGCCAACTACTTAAACCAGCAGCCTGTTTTGCAGCCCTCGAGTCAATCGTGTGATTTTGCTTTTTTTGTATTTTTTTGTTTAATTTCTAATTCCATGCTGGGTGTGGGAGTGTAGCCACTGGGACCACCGACGCTCTCAGGCTACACAGGAGGCCCTGTACCCCCCCAGGCTACACAGGAGGCCCTGTACCCCCCAGGCTACACAGGAGGCCCTGTACCCCCCAGGCTACACAGGAGGGCCTGTACCCCCCCAGGCTACACAGGAGGGCCTGTACCCCCCAGGCTACACAGGAGGGCCTGTACCCCCCAGGCTACACAGGAGGGCCTGTACCCCCCAGGCTACACAGGACGCCTGTACCCCCCAGGCTACACAGGAGGGCCTGTACCCCCCCAGGCTACACAGGAGGGCCTGTACCCCCACAGGCTACACAGGAGGGCCTGTACCCCCCAGGCTACACAGGAGGGCCTGTACCCCCCAGGCTACACAGGAGGGCCTGTACCCCCCAGGCTACACAGGAGGGCCTGTACCCCCCAGGCTACACAGGAGGGCCTGTACACCCCAGGCTACACAGGAGGCCCACCCCCCAGGCTACACAGGACGCCTGTACCCAGAGGCTTACTCATATTTCCCTCTAATATTTCTCAGCAAATAAATACTCATGAAACAAGAACAGACTAAGGAAAAAAGAATCTGCTTGTAGCTACTTCAGAAGCGTTTTGGCCTCTATTTATCCCACGATAATGCTCCTCATCCTCCATCCCCCCTTCTCTCCCTATCCCTGGTAGCCCTCTATCCTTCACCACCCCCAACTCCCCCCCCCTCTTCCTTCGTCCCTTCCCCCTCTCCCTCCCTCCTCACCAACCACCCAAGGTTCAACCCATCAGTCACGACTCCACTGGATTCCCCAACTGACAAAAAAATTAAAATAAAAACAGCGTGGAATTGCCGCTCACGATCTTAGCGAGGCGAGGCTCGTGGGTTGTGTTGGGAGAGGCACTAATCTCAGCTGCTCCTTATCCCGGCTGATGAGGACGAAGAGGATTAGGGTGGTACAAGCCGGCTGGAGAGCCGGTCGGCCGAGCGGGCGGACAGCACGCTGGACTTGTGATCCTGTGGTCCTGGGTTCGATCCCAGGCGCCGGCGAGAAACAATGGGCAGAGTTTCTTTCACCCTATGCCCTTGTTATCTAGCAGTAAAATAGGTACCTGGGTGTTAGTCAGCTGTCACGGGCTGCTTCTTCGGGGTGGAGGCCTGGTCGAGGACCGGGCCGCGGGGACACTAAAAAAAAAGCCCCGAAATCATCTCAAGATAACCTCTCAAGATATACAAGTTTTCGGTTGTGCTGGTTCTCTTGAGGTTATCTTGAAATGGTTTCGGGGCTTAGCGTCCCCGCGGCCCGGTCCTCAACCAGGTTTCCTTTTTATTACACATCCCTAGGAAGCAGCCCGTAGCAGATGTCTAACAACCAGGTACCTAGTTACTGCTAGGTGAACAGGAGCATCAGGGTGAAAAAATCTCTGGCCATTTGTTTTCGCCTCCACCGGGGATCGAACCAGGAACCTCAGAGCTATGAATCCGAAGCTGTGTCCACTCAGCTGTTAGGCCCCTGATGGTAGTGCCTGTTTCTTGGTAGCTATTGTGGTGATGGTTGTTTGGTTAGCGGTTGGTGACCATGATTCGTTGCGGTTAGTTGTGGTAGGTGATGGTGATTGGTTGATGCTGTGGTTGGTTATATGGCCCTTTGTTGATGGTTGGTGTGGTGTAGTCGGCGAGGGATTGTTGTGGCATACGTGGTCGTGATTGTTTATGGTGGTGAATAGTGACTGACTGTGGTGGCGGTGCTGATCTTGACGCCGGCGGCGGGGACAGGAAGCCAGCACACAGGCTTACCGAGGTACCCAGTGGCTAACAGATTATGCCCAGGGTGGAATCCACAACAATTGCTCAACTCCAGGGTTCCTATTTACTGAAAGGTACACAGAGTAATCAGTTAACGGTAAACGTGCCCAACAGTAGTAGAACATCCTGGCACACAGGGGGTGACGCAGGATGGGGGTGACGCAGGATGGGGGTGACGCAGGATGGGGGTGAATGGTAGGGGGAAGAGCAGTGACGGAGAAGTTCGGGGTTAGTTAGTTTAGTTATTTCTAACGTGGAGGTTGTGTTAGTGATAAGAGGTGATACTTGCCATACTAGTCTTGGGTCAAGGGTGGTGGCCATAACCAGTCTTATGACAACGGTCATTGCCATACTCTTCATTGGACCAGGACTGGTTGCCATACTAATCACTTGACAGCGGTTACTGCAAGACAGTGACTGCAAATTATCCGAGAAAAGACTCTCAAATTACAGGTGTTGCCAGACAAACTTTTAGCCCTTAGAAAAATTTACACCGTTCTAATTCAACTGCGAAAAGAATTTTCTTGAAAGAAAAGACAGGCGCTGGCTGGAGTGTAGGAAGCTGAGGACAGTTCTGTTGTCTATATTAATAGTTGGCTTGAGGAAGGGTTCATATTAAGATGGGATGTGACCTTGCCTATGTGATGGATTACAAGGGAGAGCGATTGTTGTGTAGGAGGGAGGGAGGGAGGGTACTATAATGGAAAAGGGTGGTGGTAATGGAAAGGGGGGTGATAATGGGAGGGATGGTAATGAGAAGGGGTACTGTGGAAGGGTGATGGCAGAAATGACTTCAAAGTTTCTCATTAGTTAAACACCGTATGGCTCTAGCATATCACGACTTAGCCTTTTGCAACTTAGCCCTTACCTTACCTAACGCAATCATGGCAAATCTTATCCAAATGGCTGACTGAAAGGTTTCAGTAGGAAGAGAGGCAGTACCTTATTGTACCGTGAAATATTATTTGAAATCGGGACGGCGAGAGAGTTCTTAACCGGGATCCACCAAGGCGTGTGTGTTGTACAAGGCCTCAGTTCAATTAGTCGAGGCGAGTAAATGTTAATGGTGACAGCATACACGCGGAATGACTGGGTACGTTAATGATGGTGAAAACACGACAATGATCTGACTGGGTGTGTGTCTAAATCGTTAGTAGCTCAATAAAGACAGTGAGACAAGCCGAGGGAAAATTAGAGGCGGCGACTGCGGTTGCATCACCATGATGTATGGAGTGTGACAGGAAGTGTGGCAGAGACGGGTGAGAGAATGGGGGCTCCGGTGGTTAGCGAGGACCGCCAGCAGTACTTAAAGGCAGAAGCGACGTCTTAAGGGTCCTAGACAATGCGCGAAGCACCATTGCTGACTTGAATAACTAGCAGCGGGAGCCGTTACACACAACACACCTTAGTACTTGCGGACATAATGTGCTACGGTGAAGGAATACACAAATAACAGATCAATATCAAAGATAATATGGTGTAGCATCACTAGAGATATCAAAATATACCTAACGTAACTACACCGACCATAAGCTACGCTGAGACTCAACGGGTGAGTACAATGCACCAGAACAGCCTTGACGTCTAAACTTAAGGCGTGCGTCTACTGTAACAACGCAGCTGTAGCGGCAGAAACTGCAGCATAGTGAAGAATTTAATCACAACGAATCTGTCCAGCATCAGGGCAAGTATGGCATCAATGCGATCACTCGTCGATAAAGAAAATGTGGCATTATCACAGGCTGCAGTATCTATAATATTTATAAAGTCAGCGTAAGTCATTCCTCTTTCATGTCATCCGAATCATCATCATAAAACAACATTCTCCTCATCTGAAGCCAGTCATAGTACCATAATTTGTACTTGTAATCACCGCTAATAAAAATAGCAGTCGCCCGGTTATATACAAAAGCAGCAATGAAGAAGGTGAAGCAACAAAATCAGTGGAGAGGAAAGCAAATACACGTTTACAACAACAGTCCAGCCAGAAGACGCAATTGCAACGGAATAATTATACCCAGGCACAAGCATAATCAGACGCAACACATCGGCAAGAAGCAACAATAATATCAGTATAATCAGTAACACATAATATTCACTAATAACGCAGTAAAGGAAGCAACACACAAAATACAGCAACAATAGGGGAAGGAGAAGGTGGAAAGGAGAATGACGCTAACTTTAACATTATTAGGAGCGGTCTCACCCTACTATTCTCACCCTGAGTACCTTCTTGAGATGATTGAAATTTAAATAAGTTTATTGAGGTAAAATACACACAAAGGGATGAGGTAGCTCAAGCTATTCTCACCCTGTTCAGTACATCGTGTTAATACATACATAGACACACATCACAAACAATAAACGTATTACCAAACATTCTGAGAGATAAACATCTACATTTCCTTTAAGATGATTTCGGGGCATATTGTCCCCGCGGCCCGGTCGTCGACCGGTTCTCGACGAGGGCCTCCTTTTAGCTAAACACCCCCAGGAAGCAGCCTGTAGCAGCTGTAACTCCCAGGTACCTATTTACTGCTAGGTAACAGGGGTATCAGAGTGAAAGAAACGTTTTGCCCATATGTCTCCGCCTCCACCGAGGATCGAACCCGGAGCCCCAGGACTACGAATCCGAAGCGCTGTCCACTAAGCTGACAGTCACCTTCAAAACAATACTGGCAGCACTATTAATACCTCAAGAATTATCATCTGAAAAAGTAGCTTTATGACCTAACGTAGAGTCACCAGGAACAGTAGCAGCAAGATGTGACGACGAACCAACAATAAAATTAGCACCCTGTGTGGGAGCTCAACAATTGTGAAGCCCTGAAAGAGGAAATCATAGAAGCCACCATCATCCGTAACATTAAGGCAATATTCGACAAGGAATTTGAACATCATAAATTATAGCATTAAAACCCACCAGAGACAAGAAAACTACAAGGCTTAACTTTGTGGTTTAAGTTAAGAAGGTTAAAGGGTAAGAAGGTTAGCTTCAACAAGGCAAGGTTGAGAGCTAAACCTCACCTCACTAAGCAGCACACCACAAACAAGAGCGGTACCAGTACCACAAACAAGAGAAGTACCAGTACCACAAACAAGAGCGGTACCTGAACCACAAACAGCAGCAGCACCACTACCACAAACAACAGCAGCACCACTGCCACAAACAACAGCAGCACCACTGCCACAAACAATAGCAGCACCACTGCCACAAACAATAGCAGCACCACTGCCACAAACAATAGCAGCACCACTGCCACAAACAATAGCAGCACCACTGCCACAAACAATAGTAGCACCACTGCCACAAACAACAGCAGCACCACTGCCACAAACAATAGCAGCTCCACTGCTGCAAACAATAGCAGCACCACTGCCACAAACAATAGCAGCACCACTGCCACAAACAGCAGCAGCACCACTACCACAAACAATAGCAGCACCACTGCCACAAACAATAGCAGCACCACTGCCACAAACAGCAGCAGCACCACTGCCACAAACAACAGCAGCACCACAACAAACAGCAGCAGCAGCAGCAGCAGCAGCAGCTAGGAGCGCTAGGCGTCAGCTGGGCAGCGTGGAGGGCCCAGAAGTACCACGCGCCGCTCCTATTACCAAAACTGGCCGCTCGGAATTCATATATTAACTTCCGATGTGACGTGACGAGAGGAAGTGCGTGTGAGCGATACTCTCCGGATATGAGGCACGTTCACGCCGGCCACAACAATGATTGCCGAACTCCACAAGGACGTGAAATATTCATTTTCCAGTGAAACATGCAGGTGTGTGATGTGGGCCGGTGGTGGGTCCAGACCCACCCAGCTGCTCGGCACACACCTGCCAGACCCACCCAGCTGTTCAGCACACACCTGCCAGACCCATCCAGCTGCTCAGCACACACCTGTACTTTATCCTACACAACAGTTTGCTCCTCTGAAACCCATCCACATATTCGAAATAGCATTAGTAAATTAAAACCTATTTTAAATTACTAATATGTTTTATATGAGAGGTAAAGGCTTCTGTGTGTGTGTGTGTGTGTGTGTGTGTGTGTGTGTGTGTACAAAGCTGAAGACAAGGTGCGTGAGATTAACCTCTCCAAACCTCGCCCAGCCGCACCTCAGTGATTAAGGTGGGGCTGGTTCCCATCACGGACAGATTGGGGTCAGCGGCAGTGCTCCCAGTACATGGGTCTCCTCCCATACTAAACAGCAGTCCACTCTGGCACCTGCTCCACCCATTTGAACTTGTAAAATTAAATCTTACTGTGTTGTAGAGCATTTTGTCCTGATCGCTGCCTCCCTCATCACCCCCCCCCCCCTTCCCCCCCAAACCCCCCATCCCAACCCACCCCAAACCCCCTTCCTCCATCCCACACCCCATTCTTTCCTTTCAGTAAACTGAATAAATCTTGATGCCGTTATTTTCTATGAGGAGAGAAACGCGAGATGTGTCGACATGCAACTCGTCATCCTAATAGAACGTCACATTTTGACGTATACTCAACCTAAGGCCAAAAATTGTCGTACTAGAGAATGGTAGCGGGTCGCGAAATTAACATAATGTCCCGTATTCTGTTTTGGGTCCTCTGGTAGGTTAGAATAAGGGCACTTTAATATGACAGTTTCTTGACGTTGGGAGGCCTTAGGAGGACGGGGTGCGACATGGGTGCCCACACCATCCTTCCGGCACTCGTTCCTAGTGTCTCAAGACCCTCTTCCCCAGTTCCCTCACCTCTTCTAGGAACTCCCTACATCCAGAGTGAAAAATATAGGGAGAAACGTGAGAGAGAGCGAGAGAGAGATAGAGATACTAGCCCCAGCCACTGGCCTGCAACTTTGGCTAGGCAGGCAGATATTCTCACCTGTAGGTATGTATACATATGCATTCATAAGGATCGTACAGTTTACCTTCTTCAAAAGGCCATGTGGGTAAAATTACACCATTCAAGTGTAACGCAGTGAGCGTAACAGTGATCCCTCGTAACGTGTTATTTTAACGGTAGTGTGTGTGTGTGTTTTTACACAGGTGTTTGAGTGCAGGTGCTGTCGCGTGAAGACTGGCGCTGCTTCCACGCGTCATATAAACAAACTTCGTTTCAGTATATTTTAAAATAGTTATTACGATATAATCATGAAATACATAAATATATCGTAGCTGAAGACTGTTCTGGACACTCAAACAGCAGTAGCAGAACTTAGCCTTTTGGCGTATAACCTCGAAACGCCAAGTGTTCCAGGATTTATGAAGAGTCATTAGAATCTCCATGAATTATGCAAATCTTTTGCTTTAGTCTGTTGCAATAACAAATCTCTGAGCCGCCTGTACAAAGGCTTAGTAAACAAATTGTTTGCATAGCATCAAGATGTGGAAAGATGATAACCTTCTGAAGCAAGCGGTGTGATACTTGATACTTGTCAAGCCGGTTTAAAATGCACATTCAGGGCCAGATGTGCGGCCTAGAGTGAGGACGGGGTGGGAAGAGGAAAGATGGGAGGGAAATGAGAAGGGAGAGAGAGAGAGAAAGAGAGAGAGGCTTTGACGGGAAGGGAAGGGGGGATTGTGGTGAGTACGTGCGTGTGTCTGCACGAGTTATAATTGGTGGATCCACTGATTACTGCCGACTTTGTCGATGGTATTCTTGCTACCTTTACTGAAGCTGTTATTGATTTTTCTATCGAAGGTTCTTTTTGCAGCCACTAGTGATATTGCTTTTTCTGCCTTATTGCTGCTGTTTTTGCGCCGTCTCTATTGCTGCTGCGTTTTGCTGCATCTATTGCTGATGACCTTGCTGTCTTTATTAATGCTGCTAATTCCGCTTCAACTGATGTTGCATCTAATTTTTCTATTGGTGCTGTGTTGATACTTCTCTTGGTGCATTCATTAATAATTCTCTTGTAGTCTCTAATAATGTTGTTTTCACAGTCTCTACTATGCTGCTCTTCTTTATTGATGATCTTCGTGTAGTCTTTTATGCTGCTCTCGCAGTCTACATTGATGCTGTTTTCACAGTCTATATTAATGCTGCTGCTACTAATGCCACCTTTACTAACTCTACCGCAACAGAATAAGCTTTTTGTACCATACTCATTAAGCTTCAAGAAGAGTGCAAGAATCATTAGCACAAAGGATGAGACTCCCTAACATAGATTATTATCTGGACCCAAAGACAACAATGTACACTGGAGGGAAGTCCACTGATTTATAAAAGATAAGAGGGTGCGCATGCCTGGAATTTATGTACTGTGCATACAAGTTGTTTGCTAAAGGAACAGCTTGTTGCTTAAAGACAAAAGTGCTTGGAATACAAAATAGGATGAATTGAGAGAGAGGGAAGAATAGAAAAGGATTGAAGGAAAAGGATGATAATGGATGGGAAGAAAGGAAAGGAAGGGAGGGAGGTAGGAGAGGTGGAAGGGGTTTATTTAGGAAGTACCAGGCAAAGAATAGTAAAAGAAAAAGAGACAGATTCCAAAGTAAATCATTTTAATGTGACGTAACAGATTTTTTTAATGGAATGCTAAAATTATTTAAAGAAACTTTAGGTATCCAGAGGTTGTAGATAACGAGAGGTATTGTAGCTTCATTTTGTCGTATGTTTGTGAGACTGACTAGGGGTAAATGGCGAGGCTAATTTATGAGGTAAACTGGTGAGATTAGTTGCCTCATGAGGTTAATTGAGGTCATGAGGATAATTACATTTCTTGCTACTGTTCAGGAGCCGATTGTAGAGATGCATTCTTTACTGCATATTACATTTTCATAGTTTCTGAGTGTCTAAGTGTTTGGTGAGTGCAGTTAGTGATTGTGTACTTGCTGCGCTTCTTTATCACAGTGGTGGCTTCAGCTTAACGTGGTGATCTTAGTGGTGGCTTCAGCTTAACTTGGTCGTCTTAGTGGTGGCTTCAGCTTAACTTGGTCGTCTTAGTGGTGGCTTCAGCTTAACTTGGTCGTCTTAGTGGTGGCTTCAGCTTAACTTGGTCGTCTTAGTGGTGGCTTCAGCTTAACTTGGTCGTCTTAGTGGTGGCTTCAGCTTAACTTGGTCGTCTTAGTGGTGGCTTCAGCTTAACGTGGTGGTCTTAGTGGTGGCTTCAGCTTAACGTGGTGGTCTTAGTGGTGGCTTCACCTTAACGTGGTGATCTTAGTGGTGGCTTCACCTTAACGTGGTGATCTTAGTGGTGGCTTCACCTTAACGTGGTGTCTTAGTGGTGGCTTCAGCTGGCTTCAATTTATTCCATTTAACACTCGTTTCATTTTTTTGAAGAATTGTTTATATATATATCCATTGCTCATACTGCGTCATATGTCATATTTTGACGAATTAGCCATTGTGTTAATCTTGTTGCCGATGCAGTTAATGTTGCTGTTGCAGCTGCACCTGATGTTACACTTGTGGCAACGACTTGAGTATATAATTTCCCCCCGCTGGCTCGCTCGAATTAACACTGTAAAAAAATCCAGCCGATTTACCTAACCGTAAACGTACGAACCCAACTAGCATAACCAAACCTTTGAGGCTGGTGCATGAAAAAGGTAAATATTGCAATATTTATATGTTTACTAATTCGTCGCATGTTCAATAAGTTGGTCGATTACGTTAACAACACGACGTATATAGTTTAAGAACGAGTCGATTTATGGATCCTGCTGCTGCTTGATTATTTACTTTGATGTCTGATGCAAAGTGTTTCAGGAGTGCGAGCACTCCTCGTGTTACTTTGAGATATATACAAGAGTTGTTACATTCTTGTACAGCCACTAGTACGCGTAGCGTTTCGGGCAGGTCCCTGGAATACGATCCCCGCCGCGAAGAATCGTTTTTACAACCAAGTACTCATTTTACTGTGGAGTTAAACAGAGGCTACAGTTAAGGATTTGCGCCCAGTAAATCCTCCCCGGCCAGGATACGAATCCATGATAAAGCGCTCGCGGAACGCCAGGCGAGTGTCTTAGCACTACTACCTGTTACTTCTCCCGTCTTACTGATCGACGGTTCTTAACGTACGAAAAGATGTTTCCAGTCTTGAGATGCTCAAAGGCTTTCAATATATTAATTATACATATACAAGTTTGATTTCATATGACAGAACCAGACAAGCATGACAAATGCCAAATTACCGCAAACGCTCAGTGTAGACCGAGTCATACATATATGTTATGTATAAGATATGTTGAGCAGCAGTATGGAGATACTGGACAGGTACTGTGATAATGGAAGATCAGACACCGACGAAGCACTACATATCAAACAATCTGAACCAACTTTCAGCAGCCAGCTCACACTTTAGCACATTATACTCTACATTATTGTTGAGGGTTAAAGAATCACATCTCGCGCACACACACACATATATATATATATATATATATATATATATATATATATATATATATATATATATATATATATATATATATATATATATATATATATATATATATATATATATCTATTATATAATTATATATATATATAATATATATTTTATATACATATACACATATCCTTGCTTATGGATATGAATTTATGCATGAATTTTCGTTTACTAAGGTATTCATCAGCATAACCCTTTAACGCTTCTGTGATAAAACAAAAACAAGAAATATTCCTACGGTGAAAATACTTAAAGCTTATAGCTTTTTTTATATACATTCAAGTAATCACAACGTCGTGTAATGGGCCATCCATTATCACAACAAAAAGACTCCAAATTCCAGCTCTGGTCTTTATCCTTCTGGAGTCGTTTTCCCCCATTTCAAGAAGCGTTACTGCTGCATGCTGGTAGTAATGATGGCTTAATCAACCAGCTCGGGTCTCTGACGGACGTTAACGACAGTCATCAGCCCAGAAAAGTAGCCGAGGACTGCGTTGGATGGAATTTTGCTTCCCCCTATGATCAATGAACATGAACATTCCCATCTTGAAGGATGCCATTGGCCATTTCTAACAAGGTGCGTCTAATTACTTTCTGAAATTACTTTCGACTGCAAATCCTTTAGTGAATTTCATCTGAGATTTCATATGTTTAATAAGCATGAGGGAAAATTGAATTTAATTGTGGAAAATTGTATTGTTTGAATGCAAACCTCGATTGGAAATCTTTATAAAAATCTCCCCAAATACCAAATTAAATGTTAAGAAATATTTTGAAAGAAATCAGAACATGGTTGAATCCAGTGCATTATCTTGCATGTGTGAGAAGAGCTCAAGGTAAATAAAGTAAATGAACATTACTGCAGGGGATTGATAGCCGTTTCGTTGCAATGAGAGCAATTTCTATTTATGCCTCGGCTTGCTAGACTTTAAATACCGTCAATGAACTCTATATAAACATTCATTACAACCGTAAGGGACACAGCTGCAAAACTCTGCACTCGAGGTG